ATCAAAACATTGGAAACCTTTTGTTGGTAACCGGATTGCAGAAATTCAGCGACTAACTCTGCAATCTTCTTGGTACTATGTGTCTACCAAGGATAATCCTGCAGATTGCGCCTCCAGAGGTATAACTTCTTCAGAGCTAGTAAACCATTCACTTTGGTGGAATGGTCCTGATTGGCTATCAAACTCAAGTTTACAAGATCCGCTACCAATCACATATGAACTTCCAAAAGAAGTTTGTCATGAAAAAAGAAAGACTGTTCCGATTGTTCATTTCACTACTTGTCCTATTATAGACTTTATTTTTAAATTCTCAACATTCAGGAAGCTGAGCAGAGTTACGGCATGGCTCCTAAGATTTATCCACAATGCTAGACACAGCAGCGACAAAATAAAACACAAAGAATTGTCCTCTAATGAGCTCGATAATTCAATTCGAACTCTTATTCAAATCATTCAAAGTTCAGAATTTAAAACTGAAATTCAATGTTGTAATCAAAGCAAAGTACTACCAACAAACTCAAAACTTTTATCCTTAAACCCATTTATTGATTCATCGGGAATTCTACGTGTAGGAGGTCGACTGCGCAAATCCAACCTGCAATTCAATGAGAAGCATCCAATAATTCTTCCTCACAACCATTTCGTTACAGAATTGATTGTTCAACAATTCCACGTAGAGCATCTTCATTCTGGTCTCCAATTAACTCTGTGTGCCATCCGACAAAAGTACTGGATTCCATCCGGTAGAATTCTAGTAAAAAGGCTCATTAATCGTTGCATGACATGTTTCAAGACGAAACGCCAAGTGTCAAAACAAATCATGGGAGATCTGCCTATCCATAGAATCATACCCTCAAGCCCTTTTAGCAAAACAGGAATAGACTTCGCAGGACCATTTATAACTAAACCTAATGTCATAAGAACAAAAGTAACATTAAAATCATATATAGCATTATTCATTTGTTTCTCAACGAAGGCTATTCACCTTGAGATAGTTTCAGATCTGTCAACCCTCGCCTTCCTCGCTGCTTTTAGAAGATTCATCTCTCGTCGAGGAAAACCCTCTGATATTTTCACCGACAACGCTACTAACTTCAAAGGAGCTAAGAATATTTTGAATAATATACATCAACTTGTAAAGGATTCTTCAATTCAAAGTTATGTCGCTAATGAACACATCACTTGGCATTTTATACCTCCATCTGCTCCAAACTTCGGCGGCATTTGGGAAGCAGGAATTAAATCATTGAAGTATCATCTCCTAAGGTGTTTAAAATCTGCAGTTTTAAATTTTGAAGAACTCAATACTCTGACAAGTCAAATTGAAGCGTGCTTGAATTCTCGCCCGTTGTATCCGATGAGTTCGGATCCAAATGATTTCAACCCTCTCACTCCAGGACATTTTTTGATTGGAAGACCATTAACATCACTCCCAGAGCCCAGTTATCACCCTAATGACAACTACTTAACTAGATGGAAATTAATTCAAAAGGCCAGAGATGTTTTCTGGCAAAGATGGTCCAGGGAATATCTAAACAATCTGCAACAACGGTCCAAGTGGAAAAAACCCTCTTCCAACCTGAAGGTTGGAGATTTGGTGTTGGTAAAAGACTTTCCTATGCCTTCAATGCAGTGGAGCCTTGGCCGCATCACCAAGGTGTCACCTGGAGCGGATGGCATTGTCCGAGTTGTGGAACTTCAAACAGAGAAACAACATCATCTAATAAGACCCATCTCGAAGATTGCACTTCTGCCATTCTAATTCTTCTTCTTCTTCTTCTTAAAAAAAAAAAAAAAAAAAAAACTTTCTACACTATGTGATCCTTTTCTTTTGCCTTGTGTGTGGACTACGTCCACAGGAGGGGAGTATGTTTCGTTTTATTCTAACATAGGTAGCAGAAGGCAGCACGCGGCGGTGAAGGAGTGCTACGTCATCGCTGACCAATGGGAGGCCAGCTGGCGGACTGCCAGAGGGAGCTGGCCACCTTCTCGAACATTCTTCTTGCCACGTCGCCACCAGAGAACTATTCCTTTCAGAGCTGCGGCTTTAATTCATTTGTAAATTCTTTAAAATATTCAATGTAAAGAAAAATAAAATAATTCATTTGTAAAGCTTGGGATGATTGCCTGACCAAGATAAGTAAACTTATTTCTTTAAACTAGTATAAACATTATATTCAATTAAGCCTAACGAGAACAAATTGTTTTGTAAACAATCATTCTGATTTTCCTACTTGCGTATTTGCCAAGTGGGAAACAAAACAGGTACAACTTTCTTAATTTTTGTCCATGAGTGTATGTTATCTCGTGTGTCTTCAATAAAGATCACTGTAATATCTTTCAGAGTTATTATCCCGATATACATGCTTCCTTGAGTACAACGTTCTTAAGTTTTGTCCATGAGTGTATGAATAACTATTAATCAGAAATGTATTTTATTTGTAAATATTTTTAAATATGATGCGCCCTCAATCCTTTTGAATCTAAAATATAAAATAGTTAATGGGATTTTAAAAAAATTAAGAACAACAGATACTAGCAGAAATACATATGAACATTGAAATATGGATTTGCTTTTGCACTCTTCTCCCAAAAAAATCCATATAGATAATACACTAACAGAGTTTTCAGTTGTAAAATTTGAAGCAATCTGCTCCAAAGATACTGAACCATACATATCAGTCTATATACTAAAATATTCGTTATTACTTCATGTTTCTCACACTTATTTTTATTCTCCAAATATTAGTAGTTACATTTTTAATTTATTCAATTTTCCAATCGTAGATTTTCTCAATATTTTACTCTGTATAGTTATCATCACCAAATAACTTTGTTTTAAAATTAAGTGTGTTTGTATTATTGAATTTTTAAATAATTTCTTAGCAATCAATATACGTTAGATCGTTGGTCACAACAATTTGCTCCTGCCATGGCTCCTAGGAAGAAGAAGAAGAATGCCTAGAATGCCGAGAAGCCCCTCGTAACCCTCGCCCAACTGGAGATGGAGAACGAAGAGGTGAAGCAGAACTTCGAGCAGAAAATACAGAATACTTACCCTACCTCCCGATTTTACCTGTTCCAAAGCCTAATGGAATTCATCAACTTACGGTCTGAGCAGATCAAGGCCCTCATTGCCGAGGTAGAGAACCTCTCTGGCACCCTCGCGTCCTTTAAGGAACTGGACGAAATCAAGCCACAGACAGCCTGCCACAGCACTCAAACCAGCCCTTCTCCCTCCTGCAAGGAAACCAGCACTCAGACTGACCCCACCAAGCCCGCCACTCCCGCTCCAACCAAAAGGAAGCAGCCTGAGGCTCCCTACCCGCCCGCAAAGAGGACCAACCTCAATGGTCCCGCAAAACCTGCGCCCTCCCGAGTCCCCAAGCCTGCGGCCGCCCAAGTGGTCCTCCATGGGGAAAAATCGGCGGCCCACACAGTGGTCATCTCTGATGACCCACAGGCTGACCCAAGAGCAATGCTTAAAGCTGTCCGCGCTGCCCACACTCTACCCCAAGGCGTTTGGGCCTCCCTGCGAACCAAAGGGAAGCTTGTCCTCCACTCCAGCAACCCCGATACCATCCCAGCTGTTACCACCTCCCTGGCCAACAAGCTGGATGGCATGAAGGTCCGCCAACAGAAGGTGATCCTGCCTCGCATCTGCCTCTTCAAAGTGGATGAGGAAACATCCAACTCCACCATTGAAGAGACGCTGCTGGAAACCCCTGCTGTCAGCCAACTCCCTGGGGACAAGGTAGTGCGCGTGGCGCATCGCTCTGCACCCAGAAACGGGACCTGCACCGCCTTCATCGAGGTGGACCTCACGACCTTCAGAGCTCTGGGAAATCGTGGAAGGATCGTGGTGGATGGTGTGATCCTCAACTTCGAGGAGTCCATCCGCGCACGAGTCTGCTTCCGCTGTTGTGGCTTCGGCCACAACTCTGCCCAATGCACCAGAGCTCCCACGTGCTTCCACTGCGGTGAAAGCGGCCATGAAGGCCGTGCCTGCCCCTCAGTTGCCGACTGGAACACTTCCAAGTGCGCCAACTGCTGTGCCAAGGGCCTCCCAGACAAGCACGAGGCGAGAGCCTCAAGCTGCCCCATCTTGAAGCTTAGAGCCCTCAAGTTCTAGGCTTCCAGGACCTCCTGCCTCCTCAACTGGCCTCCATCCAGGCTTCTCACCCATCAAGGCGCTGTTTCCTTGACCTCTCCAGCTTCCTCCCCCCTGCGATGACACTTCCACTGCCAGATCCTAGGATCCCTTGCGATGATCCCTGGCCACCCATCCCCAGGCCCCCCAACTATGCTTTGTATATATTCCGCTTTATGCGTCCATCGGGGCTCAAAAATCATTCATTTTGGTTAGCAGCCCCGTAAAATAAAGATATTTTCTCTTATTGAATTTTATTAATGGTAGATAATTGGTGTTTCTAATTCATAATGCCCACTCTTCTTTAGCGCTAGACAACAGACAATAAACAATGTTGTAGATCTATATCAATTTGTAAATAGCAGAGAGAATTATCATAGATTTAACTATTTTTGTAGATATATTTATGATTATCTTTCTAACCTGAAAGGTTCAGGTTCCTAATATATATTATTGTTTCTCTTTTTATTTTGATTACTTTTTCTTGTATATAACTGTTTCTGTTTAAAAATGAAAATCGACGTATTTATTCCTAGCTGGGATATCGCGTTTTGTGTGTTGAAATAAATAAATTCAATTGTTAATTATACTTTTCTGCTTATAACTAGAATTACTTCACGTAGAATTTTCCTTGGGGATCTACTCTGGATGTCTGAGAGCGGTCGATCCTGTCCTTGTCTGGTGGGGGACAAGATGGAATCCTTCCTGAGAACAACTGTATATATTGTAACAAAGTATTTATTATTTTATTAACAGAGTATCATTTTTTAAAAATATTTTGCTACTTTGTAAACTTCCCTCATTCCTTATCTTTTGTTTATCATTCATAGTTTGTTCTTGCCTTGAATAAATTGTTGTGTCATCCTGAAGTTTGTCTTCGTCGTCCGATCACCGAAGTTAAGCAACGTCGGGCCCGGTCAGTACTTGGGAGGGTGACCACCTGGGAACACCGGGTGCTGTAGGCTTCCTTTTTTGGGGCTAGAAGACCTTACCTGATAGACCAATTAGCCCGGAATCCAAAGACACACAGACAGAAGTTTGTCTTCCCTAATTTTCCACGTGGCAATATGTTTATCACCGAATTGTAAATAATATAATTTATCTTTGTTTAATTAGATTTTTGTGACAATTAACTAAAAGTATCAATAAAATATATTGAATTGTCAGTTGTCTACTCTGGATTTATCCGAGGATTTATCGGGGTGTGTATCTGCCCTTTGTTTAGAAAACATTTTTATTTGACCTTACTTGTGAAATGCTGCTTCTAAGAAATAAGAACATAGAGAGAAAATAGAGGTAACCCGTACTCCTGGAGCATAAATCACCAACTACCCGGATACTCATCATCATCATCAATCAGAATAAACCCATTGCACATTTTAAGCCACTATCTATTTTTTTTTGCTTATCCCTAGTACACGTGGTACAGGCCATGATAATCATGGTGGGTAGAAGTAGGCAACTGCTTTTACTGTAAGCGCACCACATGTCTACACGTGTGAAAAGCAGTTCGACTTTGCACTTACAAATGTGCTAGAACCCCGTTTGGTTACTTGCACTCGCTGGTGGGGTTGGACTTTTGCAAGAATCGGGGGCCATTGGAACATTTTTTTTAACAGAAAAAAGTGTCCAATGCGGGAATAGAACTCGGATCATAGTTGTCGAAAACCAAACGGTTTAACCAGTCTTCCACCCCGACCTCCCAGCCACTATCTATACTCTTAATGTGTCTTCACAGGTTCTTTGGGTAAACCCGGGGCGTTGTCCTGGTGACTCGGCTAGTAGAACTATAAATGGTAGAGAAGAAACCAACGTAAAACTTGTAGGAAACTGAGAAGAAAGATACAAAATCTTTAAATAAATCCTTCCTCATAACTTTTCCTTATGAAGAAACATTTAAATTGATAATGTGTTTAGCTATAAAATTATCTATTTTCAGAATTCCAAGGACATCTAAACCAAAATTATAAGTGTTTAACTTAAAAATAAATAGAAATTGCTATTTTCAAAATGGCGATAAATAAACGTCGGAATCAGTAATGAATAAGAATCGTCTGGAATAGAATATACACTACAAAAATGGCTAATGGAACTTATAATGAGCAAAGCTAAATTTCGAGTTGTATCTTACACTCATGGAGACAAAACTTAAGGAAGTTGTACCTTTTAGCATGTATATCGGGATTCAGACAATAACTCCGAAAGATACACTCATGTGCAAAACTTAAGTAAGTTGTACCTTTTAACATGTATATCGGGATTCAGACAATAACTTTGAAAGATACACTCATGGACAAAACTTAAGGAATTTGTATCTTTTAGCATGTATATCGGGATTGAGACAATAACTCTGAAGGATACACTCATGGAAAAAACTTATGGAAGTTGTACTGCTCAGCATGTATATCGAGATTCCGACAAAAGCTCTGAAAGATACACTCATGGACAAAACTTAAGAAAGCTGTACATTTTAGCATGTATACCGGGATTCAGACAATAACTGTGAAAGAAACAATCATGGACAAAACTTAAGGACGTTGTACCTTTTAGCATGTATATCGGGATTCAGAAAATAACTCTGAAAGATACACTCATGGACAAAACTTAGGGAAGTTGTACATTTTAGCATGTATATCGGGATAAAGACAATAACTCTGAAAGATACACTCATGGACAAAACTAAAGGAAGTTGTACCTTTTATCATGTATATCGGAATTCAGACAATAACTCTGAAAGATACACTCATGGACAAAACTTGAGAAAGTTGTACCTTTTAGCATATATATCGGGATTCAGACAATAATTCTGAAAGATACACTCATGGACAAAACTTAAGGAAGTTCTACATTTCAGCATGTATATCAGGATTCAAACAATAACTCTGAAAGATACACTCATGGACAAAACTTAAGGAAGTTGTACCTTTTATCATGTATATCGGGATTCAGACAATAACTCTGAAAGATACACTCATGGACAAAACTTAAGGAAGTTGTACCTTTTATCATGTTTATCGGGATTCAGACAATAACTCTGAAAGATACACTCATGGACAAAACTTAAGGAATTTGTATCTTTTAGCATGTATATCGGGATTGAGACAATAACTCTGAAGGATACACTCATGGAAAAAACTTATGGAAGTTGTACTGCTCAGCATGTATATCGAGATTCCGACAAAAGCTCTGAAAGATACACTCATGGACAAAACTTAAGGAAGTTGTACCTTTTATCATGTATATCGGGAATCAGACAATTACTCTGAAAGATACACTCATGGACAAAACTTAAGGAAGTTGTACCTTTCAGCATGTATATCGGGATAAAGACAATAACTCTGAAAGATACACTCATGGACAAAACTTAAGGAAGTTGTACCTTTCAGCATGTATATCGGGATTCAGACAATAACTCTGAAAGATACACTCATGGACAAAACTTAAGGAAGTTGTACCTTTTATCATGTTTATCGGGATTCAGACAATAACTCTGAAAGATACCCTCATGGACAAAACTTAAGGAAGTTGTACCTTTTAGCATGTATATCGGGATTCAGACAATTACTCTGAAAGATACACTCATGGACAAAACTTAAGGAAGTTGTACCCTTTAGCATGTATATCGGGATTCAGACAATAACTCTGAAAGTTACACTCATGGACAAAACTTAAGGAAGTTGTACCTTTTATCATGTATATCGGGATTCAGACAATAACTCTGAAAGATACACTCATGGACAAAACTTAAGGAAGTTGTACCTTTCAGCATGTATATCGGGATTCAGACAATAACTCTGAAAGATACACTCATGAACAAAACTTAAGGAAGTTGTACCTTTCAGCATGTATATCGGGATTCAGACAATAACTCTGAAAGATACACTCATGGACAAAACTTAAGGAAGTAGTACCTTTTACCATGTATATCGGGATTCAGACAATAACTCTGAAAGATACACTCAAGGACAAAACTTAAGGAAGTTGTACTTTTTACCATGTATATCGGGATTCAGACAATAACTCTGAAAGATAAACTCAAGGACAAAACTACAGGAAGTTGTACCTTTTAGCATGTATATCGGGATTCAGAACATAACTCTGAAAGATACACTCATGGACAAAACTTAAGGAAGTTGTACCTTTTAGCATGTATATCGGGATTCAGACAATAACTCTGAAAGATACACTCAAGGACAAAACTTGAGGCAGTTGTACATTTTAGCATGTATATCGGGATTCAGATAATAAATCTGAAAGATACACTCATGGACAAAACTTAAGGAAGTTGTACCTTTTAGCATGTATATCGGGATTCAGACAATAACTCTGGAAGATATTACAGTGACCTTTATTGAAGACACACGAGATAACAAAGTGTGAACAAAATTGCTTCTGCCTCTTGTAAAAAAAAAAAAAAACTGACAACCAGCGACATCAAATACTTTTACATACCTAAGTTTTGTCTATGAGTGTAAAATAATTGTTATCGATTCTTATTTTTATACATATATAATTGAAGATATTTTTAGACAGACCTTGTTTTGCTATGAAAAAAAAATTAAACGAGTAAGTGCATTAGTTATCATTTTTAGCTATAGATTCACATCCGACAAAATACAAGGAAAAGTCAAATATACGACATAAACGCTGAGAAAAATAAGAAGACTTAGAATGAAACATTATAAAGGAATGACAAAACATCCAGACGGCACAAGAACCTACAGGACATGTAGTCCTGGTGTGGAACTAACACCTACTCATATATTCTCATGCCCAGCAATGGCCACAGCCTTGCAGAAAATTGACATGGACTCAGAGCAGCAACTTTATACACCCAAGATAGAGGACATTGTTGCTGCTGTGATAGAGATGTATGGGGACATCTGAGGCTTTTCATTGTACATGACAACAACTTTGTGTTTCTACACCCAATATAATGAACATTGCGACTTACGTGATAGATATGCATTAAGACATCTGAGGCTCTTCATTGGACACGACAACAACAAAGACAGAAAATTGATATGACCCAGAACAGCAGCTACACACACCCAAGATAGAGAACGACTGCTGTGATAGAGATGCAAGGAGACATCTGAGGCTTCATTGAACACGACAACAACAACAACAATGCATTAATGGAAAGAATCATGGGAGTCATTCCATTCCAAAGCAGCTTGGAAGCCAGAGAGACAATGGAACCATCTTCAGCTGTCCAGGAAGATTTGACGGTAAGAGATTCCAGAAGAATGGGACGAGCAGTGACAGCTGTGATCCTTCCTTCCATGCCCCATTTGATAAATCATCTTCGCAGGATTATCACATTCCCTTTCTTGAAGAACTTCTTAGAACCGATCACATCGGACATACAGATTGGCAGATACCTCTCGACCTCGGAATTCAAATCCTTTTTGGAATTTAAATCTTATTTTATTTTTTGAGTGACAAGACAAAAAAATCCTATTTTTAAACAGCGCGCTTTAGGTATTTAATATTTGAAAGTTGGTGTTATTATTATAGCCAGAAGAAAAGTGAGAATTTTTAAATTTTAATTTGAAAGGTAATCCTCTTTTTTTTTTTAAACGTTTTTCCAGAAATATTCAGAAATAAAGTTTTTTTGGATACTCTTGTAACTTGAGAATCACTAAATTCCGCCAAGATTCCACCGCCGTGTGAAAGTCAAGACTTCCCTCCAAGATGACGATGTTCCTATTGACGATACGACGACAAAGCCGCTCTTCACACCTAAAGGAAAAAAAAAAAGACGCAAAGGTACTAGGGATAAAGTTCCAAGATTCCGAAGGAATCCTATGGCAGAAACACGATAGATCCGTGTCAGTAGCAACAGAATTTGCAAGATGTGGGTCACAGCTCCCATATGATAGATGCTATGCAGAAAACTATGAATTATTTTGTGGATGGATTATTAAGTTTGATGTTTATATATTGCTACTTGCCTCATTGC